GGGGGGTAAATTTACCCCCCGCTTGTGTATGCCTTGAGCCGGAACGAGGGGTAAGCATCACAAGGACTGTGCATACACTGGGGCGTCCGTAGTGTAGGATAAGCACTGGTAAAAGGTATCAAGAATAGAGTGTCTTGAGGAAATAGCCGGTGTATGGTTATAGCAAGCCTGGGGGGTAAATTTACCACCCGCTTATGCATGCATTAGGTTAGAGATAGGGGTAAACAACTTGTAACGGTGAAGTACAAGTCCTATGCAGCAAGCAGCAGCAGCAGCCGCCTGCAGCCAGCAGCCAGCAGCAACCACCAACCAGCAGCCAGCCAGCAGCACCACGCAGCAGCAGCGCAGCATCAAGCCGCAGCAGCAGCAGCACCACCGGCAGCAAGCACCACCGGCAGCAAGCAGCAAGCAGCAGCAGCAAGCAGCAAGCAGCAAGCAGCAGTAGCAGCGGCGTCGTCAGCAACAGCAGCAGCAGCACCAAGCCGCAACAGGTAGCAAAGCAGCAGCTACAAAAGCGGCAACCAGCGGCAGCAGCAAACAGCAGCAGCAAGCAGCAGAGCGGCAGCAGCAGCAGCAGCAGCACCCTTTACACCAAGCCACCGTTACACCCAACCAACCACGTTCACACGTTCAACCAACCCCCTACACGGCGCAGCTGGGAGTTGAACCGCGGGGGGGGGGGGGTTAGCTTGATATATCAATCTTTAAGGCACGCAGCCCCTCCCACCACAACATTGCTAAAGCAAAGAAGAACTCAGCTAGCATGCTAGCTTTCGTGACAAGAAAGAAAACCGCAGGAGATGAGAGAGGGAGAAACGAGATAATAGAAGAAGACATGAACTGCAAGAAAGCTTGGGCTGGAGCAGAAGTCCAGATTTGTCTCCACTGCTGGGGGCTCTTGTCTGCCCGCCCTTGGAATACAGCGGTCATGAGAATGGTCTTCATACTGAACAGCATTGCCAAGAACAATAGCCACTGCAACACTAAGTACAGATCTTCTGTCATTCACAAAAAGCGTGACAACGTCGCTGCCGTCCATGCCAGCTTGCATGACCAAGCCTCAGTATCATAAAATATCAGAAAGCGATGGTATGTGGATGCGTTGCCTAGGTTGTCATAGACACATATCTCTCCATTTGCATCTCTTGGCACTCCAAAAGCTGAGTTGCTTCTCGGTGGAATTGGAGCAGCCACCTGCTTCAGCCCTCACTAGGTCGCAGGCTGCTGCTCTCCAGTTGCTCAAAAAAGAGGCTCACAACCTGACAAAGTACAACTTTTTGAAACAAAGAAGGTCGAAGAATTCAAAAGAGCATCAGAGACAAACATACAAAAAACATCAAGATACTGAGTCTCTCAATTAATGTCTCTTATCACAAGTCTAGTCTACTCGACTACAACTACCGGTTGCTGTTTTTGCACTTGGAGCTGCCACTTGTGTGCAACACCGGGCAGCCAGGAAAATCAAGGTACAGTGAAAAGCTGAAGAGCAACTTGATCGATACCCTTGGGTCTGCACAGACAAGCCCAACAAGCCTCGCCTCTCTCCGAAGTCCGCCACCATCTACACCACTCTCATCATTCAGCATGACACGCCACCTGGGCGGAGAGTGACAGGGAGCCGCGTGGAGTTTTCTCAGTGTGCAAGTCTTTACCTGTGAGCTGTCACAATCGGTGCTTTGCTAGTTAGAGCTTTTGACCATTCTTCCTTTTGCACAAGAAGATCCTGAGCACCAAACTCCCCCAGGAGCGCATCTTCCCGCCATTCACCCACCTCGTCTCGACAAGCCACTAAACAGGTAGGCAACCTTGCAATCTCGACTCCATGTACAGTAATACCTTGAAAGCGGCCTTTGAGTCTGCAATCGCATCGAAGACAGCGTCGCGGGAGAACATTAAGGGCTCATCAACACCTTGGTCTTCTATGGGCTGTCATGGCCATTGGCAGCGTGGGAAAGACAGAGTCTCCCACGACGTCCACGGTATTCCTCCCGGAGAGTCCTTGCAATCAACTTCGACTGAGCTAAAAGTCTCTGAATGTCAACTGATAACTTCAACAGAAAGCCAAAAAACAAACAGATGACAAAAGGAAGGTGAGGCCCCTTAGGGGGCTCTTCCGTGTTCATTTCTTTTTTTCTATTATTCTCTATAATGTTCAACTCAACCGGGAACCAGACTCTGCGGTCTCCAAGAAGACTTGTGCTGGGGTGCGAGTTCCAGGAGCTAGTGCGCTGCCTGCACAAATTCACTTGCGCAAATGTGTTTTGGTGTCCAGCGGAAAGAAGGTGGTTAATTACTGCAGGAATATTATGCATGTCATGTTATAACAGGTGGTTATAGCATGTTACAGCTATTTATAGCCAGTTACAGGTAGTTGGCTGGCTTAGCAGGCTTAGCAAGAAAAATACTGAACAAAAGTATTTAGGCGACGTAGCTCCGGTTCTTCACGCAAATCAGAAGATTTCTTGAACCCTCCTCCATGAAGACTCATGTGTGTTCTTCTTCATTCCTTATTTCCCGCAAAAAGACTAAGAACCAAAATGAAATTTTTGGGGACGTTTTCAAGAAAGCCTGAGCTTTCCCGCGTCGTCCTAGGTCCTAGGTCTACCTCCTCTTTCCGGCTAAACATATATATATATATATATCATCCCTTTCTTCAGATCAAACACGACTCTTGCCTAGGAGACCCCTGCGTCGCAGGAAGGCGGCAGGATCCAATGCCTCGCATCTGCTATTGTCGTACGCAAAAGTACCTACCACTGCTGTTGACCAAATCTCTGAGGCACAAGCTCTGTGGCTGGCAACCACAGTCGCTGCTGGCCTGTTAGCAAAAGTGTTAACAATTAGAACATTTAGAAACAAAATGAAACAAGTGCAAGAAAAGTGCGTTCAAGGAAGGACAGCACATTGAATCTCACCAAGACAGGCACCCGTACCCACCACCCGTTTGTGACATGGCAGCTAACACTAAACAACCAATCCACAGAAGTCCAAGATTGTTAGGGCAAGGTTGAAGAACTCCTCAACGACATAATGACATAATAATCACTCTGCCTGAATGCCGGACTCTCACTCAGAACCTGTTGCACGAGGTCAGCCACATCCACATCGGTACCTCATTACGTGGCATCGCAAGGCAGTAATGCAATTGGTTCTATTGTGAGCCAACCAGGATTCGCGCGCTCTTCGGGCAAAGATCTTTGCCCCCCTAGTCGGATGGTACAGGCCTGAGTTGACGATATGAATGATGGATGCGCTTGTAAGTTGAATCTATAATGTTGTATAACACAAGTGTATTCCAAGGCAGTTCATTCAATTTGCCTCGGCTATAATAAGCAACAAACACCCATGGTCAAAACCTAGTGTGTTACATGAAGAAGGCAACGAGTGCTATAAATTTCTGGGAATCCAACAAGATGCAACCTGCAAATCCAGCCCCATGAAAGCCTTGGCCAGCTTGCTGGTTTGGCATCCCTCGTTTCTGAACAAAACAGGTGCCCAGCCTTAGCCATTGCTACTCCACCCGAGTAAACATCGCTGGCAGCTGTAGGAGCCTGAGCCAGACTCGTGGTGCCCCCGCAAAACCTTTCAACTTGCTGGCATGTTAAGGGCACCGCCAAAGCCTTGGCCTGTCGCTGGCAAACCATCTCAAATCTTGCGTGCTTCCGAACATCAATTAATGAAAGACTTTGAGAGCACAGAGAAGTAGGGCTGTGTGACTGCAGAAACAAGGCAAAAACAAATGTATATAATATTATACAAATGTTTGACAGCACGGGGTAGTCTGTGTACCTCAGAAAATAGATGAAAATAGATTGACTTACAAGTCACAGGTTCACAGAAAGCATTGAGCCAGCAACGAACAAAAATCTAACACTACATCACCAGGTGATGCCGCACCACATCGAACATCACCACACATATCGCATCATAATATCGTATTTGTACGTGCCTTCGGATGTGGCCCTGCTCAGCTGTGACACCTCACATTACAAAATAGTTTTCTGTTCCGGCTAGCGGCCAGCTTGATCGAGAGCCTTGGTTGCACAAGTACTAGTATTATAGTACACTAGTACACTGCCCATCATTGTGTCATCACAAACACATGCAAGGACATGCAAGGACATCGCATCATCACAAAAGCCAAACAACGCATCCAGCATTCCACACGTCATAGCATGACATTGCAACAAGCATCACATCATCTCATCGCAATGCAACCGCAAGCATTCTGACCCCCAGCTATCAAAGGTTCATCTGGCCTCAAGTTCAGGAGCAGCATAGTCTGGCGGCGGTGACAACCTGCGACTTTAAAGTCTCAAAAAAAGAGACAAGAAAGGGAAGGTGTTTGCGTCCCTTCAATGGGGCCTCCAAACACCTTCGTTTGGTTCCTCTCTTTACTCTGCCTTTGGAAACGAAAGTGCCTCTGCCCTGACTGGCCAGCCACCACACTGCACCTGATGCTATAGACCAGAGGCCATGAAAGCGTTGCCATGTCTCTCTCACCAATTAAGGCCAAGGAACCTGAAGTCAGTCAAGATCGGACGCTGCTCCGCTGTCAGGAGCCTTTCTCAGAATTTTGGTCCTTTCTCTCTTGGTTGGAAGCATCAAAGCCTGGTGACCCCTCTATTCTTCGGCACCAGGACTTCAGTACTCCGCTTTGTCTTGGGCAAGCATGTTGGAGGGGTTGCCGGTTTATTGTACAGAACAAGAAAAGTATGATTCTGATAAGGTATATACATACCAGAAACAATGAGTGTCGATCACATTCACTGAAACACACGTGTACGAGTAGAATCATCGCCACCAAAGCGGGGTGTGAATTGTCATTAAGTTCAGAAGCAGATGAAACAAGTGTATTATACAGCCGATGTACTTTTAGGTGAGTGCTTTTTGCCGCATGAAGCAACCCTTGGAGAAAGAATCCTTTAGGTCCTTTAATACTGAGGCTTGCTACTGACCTCCAACATGTGATTGACATTTATATAAGACGCGAAACATTGGTTACGTCAATTCAACATAATTCAGCAAAGCCACATTGTATCAAGTGTTAGACGACCATGCCATACACCATCCATGTGCAAATAGCCGATTGCCTGGCCCGCAATGACAATCCAATGCACCTCTCCTCTATACTCTATTGTTGTGCTTGGAAAGTCCTTGAAAATAATTGCTACTGCGAAAAAGGTAGCAGCGGCACCCGAAGTCCGCAAACACGAAAACAAGAGGGCGCACTGAAGCGCCGCGGCCGCGCCTTTTGCAAGGCAACTGCCCTCCCAGTCTTGAGAGGGAACGACGGTAAGTGAAGGTCGAAAACAGTTCGAACTGCCGAAACACAAGTGCACAGCGTGAACTTTACATGGGGGAGAGTCCTTCGTCATCACCCCAGTTTCGCTGTTCGAACCGGTCCAGCCATTGGTAGACCAAGGTCCGCACAGATGAGCCTGACCGATCATCGACAAGGTCAGGTGGAATCACCCTCAAACTACAAAGGCGGCAGAAATCTACTCGCCGCTGCAGGCTTTCATCTCTTCCGGCCAGGCTTGAACAGTTCAAAGTCGTGTGCCATCTGGCGCCATGCCGGCTGATGATCATGCCATTGTAGAAGGGGCATTCATTTCCATGCTCATCCATCTGCCTCAGGGCGATCTTCAGGATCTGGGAGGCTTCCTGTGCAAGGGTCTCAGCAGCATTCTGGTTTCTCAGAACCAGATTCATCGCTGTCGTGGCTTCGACAGCAGCAAGGCGGGACTCCTCGGCTTTGGAACTCCAGCGCAGGACTTCCTGCTTCAGGCGTTTGACTTCTTCTCTAAGGCGAGCTGGGATGATCGCTTCATCCTTTTGGACTGCAGCCTCAGTGACCTGGGGTGGTACTCGGTGGTGTGCATCATGGCTCCATCGACCAACCATGAAGGCTGTGCTCAAAAAAAAGTAGAAGGAGGGTGCACAAAACAGTTCCAAACCAATCCATTCCAGCTTCAGGTTCCACATTGGCCGAATCGGCCGTGACCAGCTGCGGGGCCATGAACAAAAGCAAAAACCAAAACATGAAATTCGTCTTACGACCGCGGTAGGACTCGAGCGGGCGGCTTCCGACATGGCTCGGACTGTCGGAGACATACTCAAGCTTCCGGTCGGTCCTGGCAAACATGACATTCACAGGAACCTTGGAATTCCGAAAAATCTCTTCATTCCAAAACACCTGCTCATCGACATTCACGTCATTCTCCGCAGGATTCTCGTCGATGGGCTGCTGGTGCTCCTCGTGGAGGTTGGGTTCCTCATTGATCACATGTGGCGGTACCACATGGATGCTTTCGGGTTCCTCATTGATCACATGTGGTGGTACCACATGGATGCTTTCAGGTTCCTCATTGATCACATGTGGTGGTACCACATGGATGCTTTCAGCAAGACTCTGTTGGAGCTCAGCTTTTGTCTTCTTCTTGGCAGCTTTGTATGAGGGGTCCCAAACAAGCTTCAAACGACCGTGACGTAGCCGTTGCGCAAGAAGTGCTCTGGCCGACTCTTTTGTCAAACCGTCAGCCAGTTGGCGCTCCGATGACATCCACCTCAAAGAACCGCCCAGTGAAGACAGGCGATCCTTCATCACACGGATCTCAAGCGAAACTCGCTTGTCAACCACAGAGCTTCCGACTCCTTCTCGGTGATAGGAGTCGTAAAGGGCTTTGGCGTCCGTGATCATGGTGGGCGACAACAAGGATGGAGCGTCCAAGAGCTCTTGGAGTCGCTGGCGAGGGTCAACCAACAAGCTCCAGTAGATGCTGGCATGCTCCAAGGCATCGCAAGCTTGACCACCGCTTTGTGCTTCGGCGCCCAAGGAAGAGCGTGCAACTCTTGGCGTTTTCAAACTGCGCCAATCCAACACGTGGTAGGCTCCTTCGGGACCATTGGCCTGAAGCAAAGCTTTGTTGACCATCAGGATCACATAGCCAGCTTGTGAGGCTCCGTCACTGCGGGTGGCAAAGGCAGCATCAAAAAAAACATACCAAACAAAGTTCTGAAACTTCGCCCAGGTGGCTATACTGTAGGCCAACATCAGCATTTTCTTTTGCAAAACGCAGCAGGCGATTTGTGTCGGCCACTGTCTGAAGCGTGGCCTTGGTGACATGACCGCTCAGGATCGAGGTGCTGCTCTGCAAGTGAGGACTGCTTTGAACTGCGGGCCATTGAAGTGAACCAAGAAGTCCTCTCAGCTGTGTCAACTCACGCTGATTGAGCGCATCGGTGAGGCTGCGCTTCTTGTCGTAGGTGATCGGTTTCACCTTTCCCATGTAGCTGGTCTGGTTGAGGAGGAGACCATCATCCTTGACTTGAATGTCACAACCACAATAGGTCAAGGGCTTTCCATCATCACCAGTTTTCCATTCACGGAAGTTGAAGGTGCTCTTCAGCTTGGTGATGGTGTCGTTGTAGCACTGGGAGGATGGCGAACCGCAACCAAGCATGTCATCGACGTGCATGATGACCATACCACATAGGCCATGAGGTCCAAGCAGGTTGGAGTGCTCAGCTGTGGTGTCATACTCAGGGTTGAGGTCACCTTCATAGATCAAGAAGCAGCAAGGGTCTTGAGGATGCTGTCGGAGGCCCATAGCGCTCAGCTTATCAACTGCAGCCATGAACCAAGATCTCGGGGCATCGATCTGGCCGTAGCAGGGCTTGAGAAGCAACATACGGGTGTCAGCTGTAGCTCCAAGCAACTGCAAACACTCTTGAGGAAGCTGCACCCACAACTTGCGTGTCTGAGGTCGACCCTGCAGGAAGGCGGTTGCTATGTCTGAAGTCCAGATTGGCCACTGCATGGTGGAGGCCAAACTCAACAACATGGATCTCGACAGCCTCGTGGTTGTGGGCGATGAGGTTGGAACAGTTCCTTCCCAAGCGTCTGGGTCCATGAAGCCTCTGACAATGAGCCTGGCTTTGGCACGGGGGCTGCCATCAGGATTCTTTGACCACTTCAGCAGCATGCGACTGGTCAGCGTCCGACTGGGCTCAGCTTCTCTGGTGGTCTCGAACTGCCAGACGTGGTTGTCAAAGAAGGATTGCAACTCTTTGACCTTTGCAGCTTTGAAGGCTGCTCGCTCATCAGGAGTCATGTGGCGCTCCGAGAGGTTGTTCTTGTTCTTGTCTTTCTTGAAGCTTTTGGCGTGCCGGAGTTTGGTCTCCTTGCCAAGCTGTCGTGCTCCTTGAAGTGGGGCCTTAGCGAACATGGCCATCTCTCGACGAAGGTCGCCTTTGATCTGGAAGATCGTGACTCCAGTCCATGAGCGATCCAAGGGAGTGGAAGCCGTGTAGCCATCGTCGGTCTGTTGGATGCTTTTGCCGTTGTTGTCATACATAATGGTCACCCGAACCAGATCAAGCTGATCTGAGGTGAAGGGGCTGTCTTTTGGCAATTGGTGCAGGCACATCTTGGATCGTCGAGGGATCACATGGTGTCTGATCAAACATCCGGCTTTGACTTCCCAGAAGTCGCGGTCTCTCTTGTCGAGCTGGAAGTAGCCATTCTCATAGGTCCAACCTTTTGGCAGGCAGTTGGCTTCAATGCCGGAGACTTGGAAGGCATGATTCAGCAAGGCGTGATCAGGTGCCTTCTGACTTGCATAGAGAGCAGGATCATCCGAAGCAGCTGGAGCTGCCGATACTTGGGCTGGCGCTTCTGCGGCTGCCGCTGTTGCTTGTGTGTTGGGCTCTGCACTGTTGCGTTCTGCTTCTGGTGTTGTTGTTTGTGACGTCGTGTTGTATGGCTGTGGTGACCCAATGCGCTGTCTTCGCAGGGGGCCAAAACTAAGTGTCTCCTGTCTGTTGAAGCGAACTCGTCGTTGTTGAAAGGTTTCAGCATCGACTGGTTCATACAATGCTGCAGTGTCAGGGTCCAGTGAAGGCCCTGACATTGATGCTTGAGGTGCTGTTGCAATGGCCTGTGGTGATGCAGCATGTGGTGTGGGCGCTGCAGATGGTATGGTTGGCTCTTCGCTGGGTTCGACCACAGTAGGAGCCCGTGAGCGGGACCTAGTGGTGGCTGGTGAACCTGGTACAGTGATCTCGGCTGGGGCCATGGGCAGCAACATGTTTGGTTCTGCCATCACTGGTGTTGGTGGTGCTCTGGGAGACGTCGGTGCAAAGCTGGAATGAGCAGGTGAGGTAGGCTCATATTCATCATCGGGCACGATGATCTGTGGTGGTGCTTCTGCAGTCGGCACGGGTGGCTCCAGGCGAAAGCGATGCCTGGGAGGCTCATCATCATCTTCTTCCAGCAGAGGACCATCAGGGTCAGTGTGTTGTTCATCTTCCTCGACATCATCCAGCTGTTGACGGTTCACCCGTCTCAAGTCGTAGAATCTAGTGACTCCACGGGATTTCAGCTGTCTCACTTTGTTGAGGGCTGATTGCAGGTCTTCGAGCACGTGCTGAGGTCCGAGGATGTCTGCACGGACATGGTGAGGCGCAGCACGAATCAACTGTGTTTTGTAGGCGAGCCAGTAGGTCTTGACCTTTGGAGCTGCAGTATCAGCTTCAGCATCTTCTTCACGAAGAACCACGTGGGCAGGACCAAGCCATCTGATCTTGTTCAGGGCTCCTTGGCGAGCATCACGCCAAAACCATACTCTTTCTCCCAACTGGAAAACTCGATTCTGGCCCTGGTACTTGCGACTGAGAGCTCGTCGCAGCTTGGAGTCAGCGTGAGCAGATGCCAGTGCCATCTTTGCAGCAGTTCGCCGCTCAAGGTTCTCCTCAAATGAGCTGTTGTTGCCAGCAAGTTGAGCTGCATTGAGGTTGGAGTCCATGAGGTGGGACAGCTCAGGTTGGAAGCCAAGAACCCATTGACTGGGCGAGAAGCCAGCAACTGCAGGTGTGGCGTTCTGCTGTGGGATCACATAGCAAAGTGCTTCCTTGATGCCAGCAGCGTCGTTGAGCTTGCGGTCATCCATGTAGACCTCACAGGCACGGCGCAGCACTGCATGACGGCGCTCAACCAACGAAAGGCGCTCATGAGCTTCTCCTGGTGCTACTTGATGGTCAATGCCAAGTGAGCTTGTCCAAGATTCAAACGGTGCACCAAGCCAAGGTCGGCCTTCATCGGAGATCAGCTTCTTGGGAGGGCCAAAATGGCGAACCCACATCTTTTCCAGAGCGGTGATGTAGGACTTGGAGGTCTCCTCATGAAGCAGGTAGGCTGCCATGAACTTGGTGCCAACATCAACTATGCTCAGCACTGCAAACTTGCGGTCAGCCTGAATCACTTCGTTGAAGGTCTTGGGCTGTGGCATGGATGATGGAGCAACCTGGTTGGGCTTCTTGTGCTTCAGACATGCCACACACTTGTACTCCTTGGCAGCGGCGATCACAGTGGGATGAGCTCCTCTGGCGGTCAACAGATCAGCCAGAGCATCAGGTGCCGGATGGCCAAGGTTTCGGTGTAGCCGTTGCACCGTTCGAAGAGCATCTTGTCGGTGTTCAGACTTGAGCTTGAGGAGGTGTCCGGTCTCTTTCTTGCCAGTTTCATCGACCACATAGGCGGTGTCCCACAGTTGAGCGGCCTCAGGACGAGCCAAGGCAGCAGCCAGTGTCGCTGCAAAGCCAGGTTGGTAGTCTTCCAAGTAGGTGGTCCGGCGGCCATAGCCAGGAGCAGAACCTTCCAAGGGGCAGTGGTAGTGGTCATGATCACACTTCAGCTGGAAGGCCTCTAAAACAGCCTGCTTTGTGGTCAACAGGCGAGTGCTCTTTTGGACAGGTCGCCAGATGCCGTCGGTGTCCATGCACATTGCTCCATAGCGGCATTGGTCGAAGTCGGCATAGTAACCAGGAAGATCTCGGAGAGCCATCGTGTTCCAGCTCAAGGCATGTCGGGGCTGCTCCATGTCGTAGGTAGATGCGCTTGGCAAAGCAGAGATGGCGACGATGGTGGTGCTCACGTCGAGCCTTCAAGGCTTCTTGCTGTGCAGGGGTGCGACAAGCCAAGGTTTGCATTCTTGACCACAGGCGGCATTCTGGTGCCACCAGCACTTCATCAGGTTCTTCTTCATCAAGTCGTTGGAGTAGCTGTTGTTGATGGCTGATGAGGTTGAAGTCCCAGCCATTGTCCAAAGAAAATCTTTCCACCTTCATGCCAAGCTCCTCTGCGATGTGGCCAGTGCGAGCTTTGCCACAATAGATTTCCCAGAGAACTCGTCGATGGTCGGGAGGATTGTGAAGCTCCTGAGTGATATAGGCTTCGGTGGAGTTTGAGGTAGTGACCAACTGAGTCTCCATGGTTCGAAGGGCATGTCGATGAAGGCGAGTGGATTGCAATTCGCCACCTGCTAGAGCCACATCTTCAGCCTGAAACACATGTTCGAGCTTGTTGAAGTCCTCGAAGTGGAGATGGCTGCCAGGTGTTTCCTCAGCAATGCGAAGGCTGAATAGGGTTTTCGTGGGATCAGGTACTTCCTCCATGCCAGTGGTGAGGCTCAACAAGTACTCGCCATGGCGGCCCACAAGCACTGAGGTCCAAGGCGATTGCCCAAAGCGAATGCGCTTCTGGCTGAAGTCGATGCCCATGTGCAGAGCCTCAATCACAGGTCGGCCCATCAACATTGGCGTGTTGCCAGGAACCAGGTAGCATTGGATCGTGCCGAACTGGCCATTGATCATCACCGGGAGATCCACTGTCCATGAAGCTCGTGAGGATGCATCGCCACCAAAATGGAACTGGCGGTCACATCGAGCAAAGCGGATGGTGTTGATGGGGTAGTTCATGGAGTGCAAGTGGCTCAAATAGCGGCCGAATGGACCATATCCGCACAGGAAGGCAGATGCACCTGGGTCAAGCATGGTGGCATCCGGTCGGTCGGTGCCCATCTCATCCTGGAACAGGACCAAGGCGGTCTCATTCTGCAAGGCCATACCCTCAGTGGGTGCAGGTCTCTTGTTGGACGATGAGGGTGATTTCGCACCTTGTGGACATTGCGCTGCCCAATGACCTGGTTGGCCACAACGAAGGCATGTAGTTGCCTTTGCACGACCTTTTGGATCAGCCTTTCCACCTGAGGAGGGTGGATAGCGCACCACATTCTTTCCTTTTCCTTTGCTTTTGCTCTTGCCCTTTCCTTTGTTCTTGCCGGCGCCCTTCGAAGGTGAAGAGGATCCAGAGGCGGGCGAAGCGTTCTGGCCATCAGTGAGGGCGACGATCGGCAGGTAGCCACGAGCCAACTTGAGCTGCTGGAATCTTTGCCGGGCATCCAAGTAGGTGGCATAGGCGTGGTCATACTCTTCGGCCAACTCTTGAGGATCTTCAGACAGGTCATGGTGTTCTCCAGGTTCATCCTCTTCGCCGTAGTAGATGGCGTCATAGTCAAAGTCAGCCTCATCGTCAGGGGCAGTGTCATCATACCAGTCGTCGGCCTCATAGTAGGCGTCTTCTGTCCAGGGTTGCTCGGACCAGTAGGCATCTTCTTCATCGAATGCGGCGTAGCCGCGGCCCTTCCAGCGGTTGAACTTTCGATCACGTTCAGCATTCCAGCCGCCTGCTTTGTAGTCCTGACCGAACAGCAGGTACAGGGCTTCGATGACAGGATTCTTTTCCAACGTAGGAGCCTTCAGCGTCACCATTTGGCGTTGCTCCTTTGACAAAGCAGCACGTCGGAGTAGATGCCATCCTTGAACCTGGACTGGAAGAGTCACATTGTGGGCAGTCAAACGACGATAGGCGGTGTCATGGTCGGTGACGAAGGACAGGAGGCTTTGCTGTGGCTTCCTTTGCAACAAGTTGAAGTACTCCTCAAAGTCATTCGGAAGGAGCACACGATCGTCATACTCGAAGTTCTTGTCGAGCTTGGTGATGATCTTGCTGAAGCCGTCCTCTTTCTCAGCCTCTTCAATTGAGAAGTCCTCGAACAACCGCCACGTCACACCCTGAAAACTTCCCAGGATGTTCAGGACGGACTCGGCTGAGCGCTTGCTGATCTTCATCTTGTGGTGGTAGAGCATCAGCCTCTTTCTGTACTCTTTGTAGTCCTGGGGTTGTCCACTGAACAGTGGAACGAAGGAGTCGCGCAGGTTGAGGTAGTCACCATCCTTGGAACCTTCTGCAGCCGATGTCGTTGGTGGCATTCTCAAACAAGTAGCCAAGACCGAAAGGGCTCTTCAACGAGGAAACAAAAGAGCTCGGCCAAGGGTTCGTGACAAAGGACTTATGCAGAACCTCGTTCTTCTTCGCGCAAAGGACTCGGAGCCCCCCGGAGGAGGCTCCGCTACCAATGCGAAAAAGGTAGCAGCGGCACCCGAAGTCCGCAAACACGAAAACAAGAGGGCGCACTGAAGCGCCGCGGCCGCGCCTTTTGCAAGGCAACTGCCCTCCCAGTCTTGAGAGGGAACGACGGTAAGTGAAGGTCGAAAACAGTTCGAACTGCCGAAACACAAGTGCACAGCGTGAACTTTACAGCTACCAACTTCCAGGGTATATATCTGCAACAGCATCGCCTGCCATATTTGCCTCCATATGGACAAGCACCTCACCTGAAAAGTTGATCACGACGCCTTGATTCAAAAACAATTCTTGGGGTGCTGGCGAAGGTGTCAGGATCCCCTTGGATCACAGCACGGCCAAATTTCTCACACCTTGGGTTTGCAAAACAAAGGTACGGTCAGGCAAAAAGAATATAAACTAGAACCCGCAATTAGGTTGGAGGCCATTGCTATTAGGTTGGGGCCCATCGCTTCTAGGCTGGAGGCCATCGCTTCTAGGTTGGAGGCCATCGCTATTAGGTTGGATGCCATCGCTATGAGGTTGGAGGCCATCGCTATGAGGTTGGAGGCCATCGCTATGAGGTTGGAGGCCATCGCTATGAGGTTGGAGGCCATCGCTATCAGGTTGGAGGCCATCGCTCCTAGGTTAGAGGCCATCGCTATCAGGTTGGAGGCCATCACTATTAGGTTGGAGGCCATTGCTAGCCCATCGCTAGCAGGTTGGAGGCCAATGCTAGTAGGTTGGAGGCCATTGCTAGTAGTTTTGAGGCAATCGCTATTAGGTTTGAGGCCATCGCTCCTAGGTTGGAGGCCATCGCTATTAGGTTGGAGGCCATCACCATTAGGTTGGAGGCCATCGCTATTTGGTTGGAGGCCATCGCTAGTAGGTTGGAGGCCATTGCTAGTAGGTTG